CGGGCGTTTTGCAGAGCCGGCCGGGGCGAACGCGTCGGGTGAAGGCAGCTGGCGCGTGGCTCCCCGGGGGTGTGCGTGTGCACGTGCGTGTGCGTGTGCAAAAGTCCCTCTGGGCTTGCAGGGCGGGTTTGCCCCGTCCGGCCGTGCTCAAGCGGGCTCGTGCGGACGCGGGTTGCGAGAAGGCGGCCGTTCTCTGCGTCTTGGGCCAGCGGGCCAGGGTCGGGCATCGCGGGTGATGCCCACGCACCGCTCTTACTTGGTTCGGCTGGGCTTCGCGGGCTGAGTCAACTCTGTGTTAGAAAACAGGAGTCTTTTCACGCCGGAGGATTAAAACAACGGGATGGAGCGGTCCGGACCGGGGTTTCTCAACCGCAGCAGCTGTCAGAGGGGTGGACTTCAATTCCCAGAATTCCCCATGCTTTGCGGTTATGCGTTTAATTGCTTTAATTGCAGCTTGGGTAGTGTTTCTCAGCAGGATTAAGATGCGTGGACTTCAACTCCCAGAATTCCCGAGCCAGCTTTTAATGGGTTTTAATTCCAGTTTGGGTAGTGTTTCTCAGCAGGATTAAGATGCGTGGACTTCAACTCCCAGAATTCCCCAGCCAGCTTTTAATAGGCTTTAATTGCAGATTGGGTGTAGTCAGCCAGGGTTTCTGAGCCTTGGCCCCTTTAAGATGGGTGGACTTCAACTCCCTGGGAATTCTGGGAGTTGAAGTCCATGCATCTTAAATGGCTGAGGTTGAGAAACACTGGTTTGGCTGTAAAGAGCAGACGACACAGAACTATTTAAAATATGGGACTTGCAGTGACGCCTCCTGTCCGCCGGTCTGGCCTTGACCTCTTGGCCAACTACAGAGAAATGCTGCAAATCCCGCTTTTTCGAGAGATGATTTATGCTTTTATTTTTAGGGTTCTTTGTTGGTGCTGGGTTTTGGTGGCGCCTGTTTGGGGCAATCCTGTTTGCATTTACAGGTGACCGTGACTGTTTTCAGTGGCTTTCATTGAGAAGCCTCCAAGAGCCACTTGGATGGCGGTAGGGTTAGAAGCATCTTTAATAAATTATAGACCAAGAAAAGGCTCAGCGACAAAACGTTAGCGGAGAATAAAACACCGGAACTAAAAGCAGCAGCGTAAGATTGCAAAAAGCAGAATAAAAGCAATGGAAACCAAATAATGCATAATAGTACCTAATGGCAATTGTTACCTTGGCTACCAGGGGGCAGCACATAATCATGATCAGTACAGTAGCAGTAGTTCATTATACAGTAGTTGCCCTATTCCGAAAGCTCTGGGTGGAAACTGTGTTTCTCAGCCTTGGCCCCTTTAAGATGTGTGGACTTCAACTCCCAGAATTCCCCAGCCAGCATGGCTGGCTGGGGAATTCTGGGAGTTGAAGTCCACACGTCTTAAAGGGACCGAGGCTGAGAAACACAGGCTTACTACACCAAATCTGCAATTAAAACCTATTAAAAGCATAACCACGAAGCATAACAGCCAAGACAAAAACAGCCATAACAGTAAAAAAAATAAAAATAAAAAAATGACAAGGGCTCCGTGGACAATTAACCCCAGATCTTGGGGCTCTTCAGAAGCAGGCAGCCAGAAGTTATTCTATGGGGTTCAAATCTTATACAGGAGGTCGATTTGATGTGCTATTCTGATATTGCTCCTAAATGCCCATTTTGTAATCCTAAACCATCTTTCTTTCATCTGATGCCCTCCAGATAGGTTGAACCTCAGCTCCCATCATCCTCAGTCAGGATGAGCTTGGGCCTAGGGATCAGGGGAGTTAAGAGCCAACATAGTTCGAGGTGGGGGATCAGAGGAGGTGTCCAGAACATTGGTATGAAGTCAATAAAACCTTTCTTGGGACAATGGAAGAGTTATAGAAGAGCATGCAGACTTTCTCAGAATGCGTCATTCGACAAAACACTCGACAAACCAGAAAAACAAAGGCGAATGGGAGAAGAAAGTAATGGACTTTTAAGCCCGCTTCCAGCAATGCAGTCTTGCAAGATAAATTGCGCGTAAATTGTGCGTTTCTGCCTTGTTCTCACAACTTGTCTTCGTTCCAAGCTCATGAGCAAGACAGGGCTGTTAGTCACAGTTGAGTTAAAATGCTGTCCGTCCTATCAGCCAGCAGGAAAGCAAATGGCGCTGCCCCATTGCTGCTCCCTATCCTGCCCCACTGACAAGGTTGTTCCACAAGCTTAGAGGGAGGGCTGAGTGTAGCCGGGGCGGTTGGGAGATCTCCAGCCCCCTTCCCATCTCTCCAGCCTTGTGAGTTGTCGTCTTTGCTACCTCTGAGACTGGGTTTAGCGCTCGTTCAAAAAAGCACTAGACCCACGTTCGCAGATCTCCCAACTGGCGGGCCAACACTGCAAGGAGCGCTGAGGACGTCCCCTCCCACTTTACCCCCTGTGTCACCTCCATGCCCGTGAACTACCAATCGAACGATTTCTGAGCACAGGTCTGGCATTGTCAAGCAAGCACCAAACCCTATTTTAAAAATAGGTCTCGCACTCTTCCAAAAGAACGTTGAACCCACATTTGCAAGAAGCTGGTGTAAAACCTGTGTAAGACCTTCCTTTTCAGTATGATGGATAAACAAATGGAAAGACAACATGGAAATGTATTTCTCTATACGATAACTGCAGCAAGACTTTTATACGTGCAAAATTGGAAGGATTTACAAACACCTACAGCCAAAGAATGGATATTGAAGTTAATGGAACTGGCAGAGATGGCGAAACTGACTGCTTTGCTTAAAGAGAGGACATTGTCTAGCTTTGCTTCTAATTGGAAACCAGTCTTGGACTTTTTGCTTGACACTCAGAAAAATGCAGTTTTGATTTTGGGATTCGATTATTGATGTTATACCTATAGAAATATCTTGTACAAATTGTATGTGTTATTGAGATAGATTGATTCTAGGAATGTTTTTGAATGTTAGACTGAACATTATTTTCTATTATGTAAATTTTTAGTGACTAGAGTACGAGGTCAATATATTTTTACGTTTAGACCTGTACCAAGGAAAGTCAGAAGCTACCTTTCTCTTTCTATGCCCTTATTGATTTTTCTCTTTTCTTTCTTTCTTTCTTTCTTTCTTTCTTTCTTTCTTTCTTTCTTTCTTTCTTTCTTTCTTTCTTTCTTTCTTTCTTTCTTTCTTTCCCTTCTTGTATTTTAACCTTTGGGAAATTTAAAACTTATTTTTAAAAAGAGTTAGGCAGATTCCTAACCCTTAACTGCACAGCAGCCGAATGAATGGTGAAGCGTGCCATATCACATCCGTAGCAAAACCTCTGTTGGGAAGAAGAGGGGAAACACTACTTTGAAACCGGAACAGCCAAGGACAATGTTAAAATGCTCTGGGGATGGGATGAGGATGGGGACCAGCAGAAAAAAACATTGCCCAGCACATGGCTAAAGGCAAATGCAGAAGTGCCCACAGACGTAAGTTGACTGCATCATTTCAGAAAAACGAGGGGGCGTGTCTGTGCTTATTTGACAGTTTCCCTGTACTTGCCAGTTACAGTCACTCTCCCCACAAATAAGGATGGTTGCTTAGCAGCTAATCGCTTTTGGTTTCCCCCTCTCCTGGCCTTAGGTAGTGGACAGTCCTGACTTCTATCATGAGTACAGTTACAGCCCTTAAGCCATGGGGGAGGGAGCTATGGGAAGGGAGGAGGAAAAAGAGGCTCTTTGCTCTATGGGTGGGGGGCTTTGATTCTGGGAGAATGCACTGAAACCCCCAGTTCTTGCCTTCCCTGTGCAGGTAGGTAGAAATAACTTGGAAAACAGGAAAGGAATGAGCGAGCCGATAATGCAGGATCCTGTGAAAAGATTATTCAGTCCTGCAAAACAAGAGCGTGAAACAGAAACTCAGAACAACTCTGCCTTGATTTTATTTAATATAGGATGGGGCAGAGGGAAACTGGGGTAGGCTTTCAAGATGCTGTCATCCCACCGTATTACCAAAAAAAGGCACCCCTGGAATGCCTGCCAGGCCTGTTTCTTGACTTGGCCTACCTGGAAGGGCTGATAGCTTCCCCCTGGGGGCTGACAAGACAAGTGGGAGCGACGGTGTTGGCGTGAATGACCGTGACCCCTCCGTGGCCAAGGACCAGATGCAGGGAGGGTGAAGCCTCTGGCGGCCTCAGGTGGCCGTGAGGAGCAGGGAGACCCCAGGCCCAACCTTCCATTCGTATGATGCACTCCAGAGAGGCCAGACAAACCGGCTTATGCCAGCAAACACAACTTCACAACTGGAGCCGGAAAAGACGTGTTTGGGCTGCCTTTCCAGTGGCTCAGTGGTGAGCTGACCATGAGGTCCTCCATCTAGTTGTGAGGTGCGTCCAGTCCGCAGGTTGTGTGAAAGGGCCCTGAGTTAGATCTGCAGCACCCAGAAGAAATCCCATGCTCCGTGACTTCCTGGTTGCATTCACACAAGAGGCTTAGAGCAGAACTGGGACATTGTCTGATTCCCCATGATGCACTGAATCACTGAACTAAGCAAATTGGATTCTCACAATGCTAACTTTCCCCCTCTACCCCACCCCAAAGGTTAAAACAACCCGAGTCTTTATTTGCCCTGATAAAAGTGGGTTGTCTGAACACAACCGCAGTCAGTGGCATATTAAAGCATATGCACACAACAATTAGATGCCAATTGAAAGAAAAATGAAGAGAAGAAAATGTGCTATGTAAAAAAAAAGTGAATTTCAGCAGGATGGGAAGGAGAAGGTAATGTATGCAATACACACATACACCCACACACCATGGGGGGGGGGGCCTTCACTGATTCACCTGTTCTAGCCATCTCCAGCAAATTATGTAGGATACGGTGAATTTGTCTTTTCTTGTGTGCAGTTAATGGAATTAGGTTTTGTTAAATCAGGATTCCAAAGTGTTAAGCCTTGCTTAAAGCTCATGTGTATTGAAGCTGAGAAAACAAGCCACCTTAGTTAAATATTGCATGTCATATTTACTTAATATAAATCTACAAAAGAAAAGATAATATTTGGATTTTATTTTAGCTGCGGTCGTATATGAATAGATGTGCGATAGGAAAAGTAAGCAATTTTGACCATGCCCAAGTTTCATTTGTTATCAATAATCCACTATGTTAATCTCATTACAGTTTAAAGTGGAGATGAAGGCTTTTGTTACTAAGCAACACTTGAGTGAAAGATAAAATGTCAGTGAAACCATAAAATTAATTTCAAGTTAATAATCATGCAGGATCCGAATATTGTATGGGATGCTCTGAACGCTATTATTAGATGCATTTTTCAAGCATGGCAAGTTACATTTAAAGAGAAGCAAAGATCAGGAAACAAAAAGAGGAGATAGAAAAGTTAGAGGTAAATGCAAAGAAATTCAGAATGGCTGGCAAATTTGCTGCCTCAGAAATGAAACAAAAGTTTGGCATTGTAATCTAGCTGAAACGTAGGAGCTTTGAATTTGGAAATCGCTGTTCAAATTTACTGAACAGGAAAGAGAACAAGGAAAAGAACGCTTGTAGAACATGGGTTCTGAAACTCTTTCCAACTGTTTAACTAACAGTAAGAATAGGAGGCATCTGTGTTTTCTTCTGTGTACAGTAATAAAGTAGTATGTTGTATCTCTCTGTGTGGTGTTTCTGCTTGCCGCCTGTATTGTCTGCGTTTGTGCGCATAGGAGGTGGGAGCATTATATCCACTGCCTTGATCTGCACAAATAGAGGTGGGAAATGATGTTGATGATGGAACATCAGGTTGGGTAATAAGACCCACACGCTAAGGTCAGATGCAAGCAAGCTAGAACAGATGAAAGAAAAGAAGCTGAAGAAGACCAAGAATACCTGATCAAAAATATCACTAGAGACAAGGAAGATCAAGGAAGCCCTGGAAATAATAAAGCAGCAAATAACAGCCATGGCTAAGAAGATCAGCAGATACGAAGCTCGAACTGCACGCTACAGGCCACATCTCCAATTTCAGTCGAATCAGAAATGTTTCTACCGATCCCTCAATGGAGAGACTGCAATGAGCCAGTCAACACCTGACAAAGAAGAGACAGGGCAGTTCTGGGCGCAGCTATGGGACAACCCAAAGAAATACTACAAGAATGCAGCTTGGATAAAGGAGGCGGATAAGAGTAAAAAAGAAGCTGAAATGAAGGGACTTGTCGTAACAGCAGAAGTGGGGGAGAAAAGGGCAAGGAAGATCAAGA